ATTATTAATATTAATATATAAACTCTTTATTATTCATTTTCCAATATCCTGCTCTTGAAAATGATGTTTAAATTCTAGTTTAACAATATGAAGATCATCCTTTTATTTATACTATCTAATCTATAACCATAATATTACATAGATATTAAGATTCATACAGAAATCTATAATTACATTTAATTATTCTTATTCTATTTAAAAAAGTCTTAGCCCATTATGGTTTCTAATTAAGATGCATATATATTGATTTCAATAAAAGCTAAAAAGGAAATCACCTTCAAAAATCAAATGTTCTTTCTCTTGATTGTCTGACTATTTTTATCGAAAATCTCTATAGAAACCTAAATTTAGATCTGAATAGAGACTCCTTTATCCTTGTTTTTAAAGTAAAATAGTTTACAATAAAAGAATTTTAAAGGAATTTTAACTTATATAGATTTTGAAGATCAGTAATTATTGATTTAAGCATTATAAAGAAATAAAAAAAGGTTCATGGAAAAAAAGTCGAGGTTGATTTAGATATTAACAGAAATAAATTGAATAATAAAACAAATAAAACAAACAGTATTAGCATATTTTATTGGTTATCATAGGTTTAATATTGTTTTATAAAATAAATTTCAATTAACTTCAATCAATAAGAATTCTTAACTTATTTTTATAATTATAAACAAATTAGAGTTTCTAGGTTTAATACATTATTAATTTTGTTACACTTAATTAATTTGATCTGAAATAATTAATAAATCAAGTTTTTATGTGATTCTGAATATATTAAGAATGAATAATCATTTTTATTCTAATTTTGAATCTTACTGCGGAATTTTTCTCTCTCTCATGATCAATAACTTTTTATCAATAATTAAGAAAACTAAGAAGATATTTAAATTTTGGAAATTTATTATTTGCTATCTTAAGTTGAATTTTGAAAAAATTTAAATCCTTTTTTTAAAATAATTCTAGTAATTAATAAATATTTTCATTAAAAACTATAAAAACAAGATTCATAATAATAATGACTATAACATACATATTTTTAAATGTGTTGCTTTATTTAATTTATTTTAATTATATTTAATCTATTTTATTTTAAGTTTTTAGAAGAATTTATTATTGAGTCTGCTTATTCAAGTTCAATTTATAATTTATAAAATATTTTTGAATTAATTATTCTGGTCCATTCAGTGATAGTTTATTGATTAGATTACTATCATTTAATTTAATATCAATATTAGAGTGTATAATTGATATCAATGATGAATATTAGTTCATTTAGTATTTAGTGAGCAATAATATTAGTAATATATGGGAAGCACTACTTCAAATCAGACAGTTACTTTAGCATTTAATTAATTTCAATAGCTTAAACTAGGAACCTAATCTATAGAGTTGACTCAACTGTTCTTGGTTGCAAACAATTTAATAAATGAAGTCTAACTACTATATAAGAAAGTTGAAGGAAATAGACTCATTTTATTACGTATTACAAAAGTATATTTTGAAAAACATGTTAAAAGGTATCTCTAACAGCAAATTAAACATTAATAGACGCATTTGGATTCTGGACTAGATATGTTTCAATATGTAACCTGGGGTAGAGCAGCTAAAATGGAGTATTTTTCAAATTTGAAAATGATGGTACTGTTAATAAAATAATATTATAGATAAGTAAATGAACTATAATTTGGGTTTAAATGGAGATTTAAAATTATAATGGTTTGGGGAAATTTTGAATGATTATCTTTAAGGACTTGAACTCATTACAAAAGTGATTCCAAGAATTATTGAACAATTAAAGATGGTACTGGAAAAGATTGCTAGTATGAAATCCAATGTTAAAGAAAGGAATAATACTTCTAAAAATAATTAACATAAAAATAATAAAGTACAATGAAGAAGTAGAGCTACTTAAAAATTAATGTAAATAAATAGCAGATAATGCAGATGAATAAAACTTTATAATAAATATGGAGTGAGAAAATTGATAAATAGTGAAAAATATTGTTTGAATACAAAAATCAATATTATCATTGAATAATGTTTTTAAGGATAAATGAGATCAGAAATGCAATAGGAAATATAATAAAGAGAAAAAACTAAAAGAAAATTAAAGAAACCATCATGGATATTTGGAGAAGATATTGGAGTAGGTATTAAGAAATTTCCATTCAGAATTAGATGGACAGGATGTGAATGTGTAGATCATTCTTTTTTTATAATCTCTAATTATTTAGAAAATCATAGTAAACATCTATTATTTTTGAGGAAATTATCAGTGATTATAAGATACTTAACTAAGGCATATAAAACTGATGAGGATACATTATCAAGAGCTTGGTCAATATTTTGCTGTTATTTAAATGAAAAAGAAAAAACAATTATTTAAAATAGTATGTCTATATTAGAAGGAATTAAAAGACTTAAACTAAAAGATTAGAATGCTGAAAAATGTCGTATCTACTTCATTTAGTATGTTGAGTAATATGATAATGAATTACTTGTAAAATTATAATAAGAATGGTAAAACTATTTGGAAGGATAATCTAAAGTATTATCTTTATGGTCAAATAATCAAATATTTTCTACTATTGAATTTTAAGAACTTGATATACATGATAAATATTATGCATTAACAAGTATGGCTAAAAATATTTATGCTCTCTAACACTATTTTCCAGTTGCTACCAAAATTTATAATACAGGTATTGAGTATATATTTATATTTTAGTTTATTAAAAATAATTGACTAAAGGAAAGGATTTTCTTAATTAAATGCAATCTATATATATAGCTTCAGGAATGTATTCACTTCCATTTGATTAATTATATACTATAAATAAGTTAGAAGATGAAGTAATAAAAGTGAAAAATAAAGAAATTAAGTTCAAATATGCTTATGGTAAATTTTCATAGAAGAGTTGAGTAGTTAAATTGGATAATATTATAAGAATAAATGTTATTTTTATATATAATTTTCCATAATGGAATAGATTTTTGTTCATTTTATATTGAATATTTTCAAAGTAGATATTTTAATAGAGAAATAAACTGTCCTTAAGTCAATAGATAAGTTTAATTACAAAATCTGATTTACATATTTAAATTCATAATTTAAGTTACATGATTAAGTATTCTCTACTCTACAATTAGGCTAACCCCATTAAATACAATATTCTATAAATTTAACTTATTCCCTAAATCAATATTAGAAAATATTTTATTTTTATAGAGTATATTTTTTATTCAATTAAATCTATTGTCTTAAAAAAATATTCAGATTTTAATTAATATAAGTCCTTATATCATTTAAGATAAATATTAACAAATCTTCTTAAAAATAATTAAATATAACTTAGTTTAACAGATCCTTTGTATAAGAAGTTTCACAAAAAGAAGGCCAAAAAAAAATGAATTTTAGAAGATATTATTTTCAAGCTAACCTAATTTAATGATATTGATTTTAATTATTTATGTTAAATTAAAAATATATGATGATTTTCAAGAAACTATTTATTGGGTTTAATTTAATGCCTCTTTAATTATATCTTGTATTTTATCCATTCTTTAATAAAATAAACTGGAATCTTCTTTTAATTACATTCCCTCTAAATATCCAATTCTCATTTAATCTCTTAATAGTATTTCAAAAAACTCTTCAACATCTGTTTTTTATTTTTCTATAAACATATGACTTGCTAAAATCATATCCATTCCTCCTATTGCTAATTCTAAACCAATTCTTTCTTGTTCTTGATAAAATAACCATTGTTCTAAATCAAATTTTCCATAATTCTTATTTTCTGAAATTTCTGAAGAATTAGCCCTTTAAGCATCAAAATCAATATCAATGTTAATGAACTCTTCTTTACTAATAAATTATAATAATCAATACCAGAAAGCAAGATCAAAATCTACTGGAGCAAGTACATTAGATCCATTCTATATTATAACAAAATTATCTAAATGTGCATTACTATGATAATAAAATTTACTATGATCCCTAAAATATCCCCAACTGATATCATTGTCAATAAATATTCTTTTTATTTTACCTACTTCATATCCAATTCTTTAATAAAGTATACTTATATTTTATAACATTGAATTTCCTATTAAATTTTCAATAATGCTTATATTATCTTTTTCTTTTTCCCAATCAAATACTCTATTATTTTGACAATCATCCTCTTATAATATTGTACCTTCTGGTCTCTCTCTATACTGTGTATTATTAAGATCCCATGGATTTCCATTTTATGACTTTCTATTTTCTACAATCCTTGATTAAACTGTAAACAACCTTCTAATATCATCTAAACACCAATCAGAAATGCTGGAATTTACAATCAATCTAAGACCTTAAAGTAAATGAGTTCCAAGTCTGAAATCACCAATTGTCTCATAAATACCACAATATTTTGGAACTAAGGGTATTTGATTTTGTAAGTTCTTCTCTAAATTTTAATTGATTGATTCAATATCTCCATATTACCAATAACCAATACTAATATTACCAGTCTCTATATTGTATTTTTTTAATATTTATTCAATCTTTCTATTCATAAAGAGTTCTCTTTTTAAAGTATGATCAAAACACATCCTCTTATTTTAAATGCATTCTCAATATCCCCTTCAAATTTTCTCAATGTAATACAATCATTCCCATTACCACAACCCTTTAACCTATATCCTTTTCCATTTTATTAAATAATAGCACTTATCATACCTGATTATTATCCAACAATAGATGGATAGTCAGCTTTTGGTACTGCTTTGATATAACCTTTTCCATCAAAAAGTGTTTTATTATTTATTTTTGTATCCAATTCTTTCAGTGCATATGAAGGTGGGCAAACAATGAATAATTTTTACTGGGGATGCATAAAACTTTGAGCTAATATATAAGATAATCCTTCTCTTAATGTTGTATGGTTTTTTTCAATTGTAATTTAATCTTAAAAAGAAATGTCTTTTCTATAGGCACTTCTACTAAACAAATTTTTCCAACTTCTTATTCCATTTATAATTAATATTATTATACATTTAAACAAATTTATATATCGATCTTTGATCAGAAATAATTAAAATTCCTAATAGTATAATAATGATTATTATATTATACAAATTCTAATTAATCATTTAGATTATATAAATAAATTGAATACATAAGATATTTTATCCAATATATTTAGGTTTAAAAGAAAACATGAAAATAAGGAATTATAATATGATTAAATTATCAAATATAAGTTTAATTCTTAAAAATTATAGATAAATTAATTATTAATTATTATTACTTGATTTTTTGAATGGGAAATGGGTAAAGCAATTAAAATAATCATGGACATATGAATGAATAACCAGAATAGCAATAAATAATTAATTCTAGTGTTGCATTGAGATCTTAAGTAGTTAAAAAAAGGAACATTTCATAAGATGATGACGATGATGATGAAGATGATGAGGAAGAGGAATTAGATTCTAATGATGATAGTGAGAATGAAGAATAATAGTCTGAAGTAAGTGCCTATTTAGAGATTAGTCTAATGAATATGAAGAATATATATAAGGTGATAAATTAGTTGATAATAAATCGATGTATTCTGGATTTCTTGTAAATAGAATTTAATTACTTGCAATAAAAAAGATAGTTTTGAATAAAAAAGAGAACTTTAAAATAATTAAGTACAATTTACAATAGCTTACCAATTTGAGACATTAAAACTTAGAAACCATTATTAGTTGGAATTTTGAAAATAGCAATAATAAGAAAAATTATTACCTCAATATTTTCTCTAATTTTTAATCGAATGGTTCATTGTAATCTATACTTTTAAAATACTGTAAATTTAGTAAAGAACTTATTTTAACAATATTTCAATCAATATTAAAAGCACTTGAGTATTTACATTCATAAAATAAATTGCATAAGTACATATTTAACTCTTAATTTTTAAAGAAATTTAAAAACATAAAATATTTTAGTTGATCATGAAGGAACAATTTTAATATCTGATATATTGATTTAAAGTTAATATTCACTATCAAATTATAGTGCCCCAGAAACTTTTGTATATGCTGATTATTCTGAAGCATCTGATATTTGGAGTGCAGGATGTATTTTTTATGAACTTCTTACCCAAAAGTAGCCATGGCAAATTAATGATAAAGTGCTTTCAATTCAAGAAATTAAAAAAAAGTTCTCTCTCAATTGTAATTTTAGAATTACTATTATTTTTAGAAACCTTCTTAAAAGAGAATTTAGATATCTAAAAAAATGCTATGAATATCTTATAATAGATTTTTCAGTTCTAACCTGAAAATAGACCATCAGCATCTTAATTACTTAAACATTAAATATTTCTAGAAAATTCAACTAGCAAATTCAAATAAATGGCTAAGTAAATTTCTTAAAAGGATGTGTAAAATACACCACAAAAAAAATTTATGTCTCTAATCTAAGATTGTAAAATCAATAACAATTCAAATAATATTCAACTTTAACCTGTGTAATATATAAAACTTAAGAAAAAGGAAGATGATGAAATTTCATTTGACATTAAAGAATGTGTTTTTTACATTTAATCCAATATATTAAAAGAATTCACAATTACACAAAATAGCAATTCTTATTTGTTAACTAAAGTATAAATATTATTAATACTTTTTAGAATAACTTTGATAGTTTAACAATTAAATAACACAAATTTAATTGTAATCTTATTCAACAAAAATTATGCCATAATAAATAATAATATAGAATCCAAGATGCATCAAATTTATCATAAATTGTATCACAAATGAAAACTGCTATTAATTTATAAGGTAGCATTCTTTAAAGTTAAAATTCAACATCCGAAAAGAATTTTGATTAAAAAAGTTTTTAAGCTAATCATCTAATTCTTTAAACTCAATCCTTTAATTAATTAAACCAAGAAATAAAATAATTTTAATAAATTTAAGATAATCAAAATGATATCAAATAAAAAAATGAATAAATTACAAAATAATAAGGTCTTATTAAATCTTAAACTCAATCAACAATAAATTAAAATATTAATAGTTAAGATACAGAGTAGATATTATTTGATGGAGATTTTGTCTTTATTTTATGAAATATAAATCATATTTTGTTGTTATTATTATTATTTTAATTATAATTATTATATTACAAGATTTAATTTTTACAAATTTTATATAATTCAATAAATAGATATGAAGTATCCATTTATTCTCTATTCTTAAATTATTTTCAAAGATTGGCAATCCATAATATACTTGGTTTATTAAAAATAATAATCATTTATGAATAATAATCTGGGTATTTTGAATAACAGATTTCACAAGAAAGCTATATAAAGTCGAAAGAGACAAACTTCAGCAGATACCAATACTATCCATTAAATGTAAGGAGGAAAGAAAAAAAATGAATACTATGAAAGATGACTAACTAATTAAAAGAATCCATTATTAAGATCAGATTCTGAATCGAATCTTGATTATCTAACACCCTTAAGTCCAAAAGCTTAAATTCCAATTAAACTAGAGCCTAAATTAATAAGAGATGTTATACAGAAATTCTATTCAGATGAAAATGGTCTTTGATTTTCTTATATTTATGATTAATTTTCTATAATCCTTAGTCACTTATAATCATTTTTGATTAATTTCTTCTTATTTCTTATTTGAAAGAGTGATTCAAAACTATTTTTTTTATGTATGAACATTATTGGAAGAATGTTTTTCTTATTTTATTATATAAATCAATAAAGAAAGTATATCTGTGGCTTAATTGTAAAATTACAAATAGAAATCATAAGATAATTTTATATTTGACTATATTGTTATAAGCACATTTATATATATTGATTAATTTTGTATTTATTTATATTATTACAATTTTGATTTGAAATGTTTGTTAAAAGAAACAGTTAAATTCTTAATTTGAGTGAAAAGGTTTATATAAAGTTTAAGAAATATAAAAATAAATATGTTTTGACAATATTCTTGATATATGTATGATATATAATAAGAGATAAATAATTTAGATTTTGACTGAAAACCAAAAATATATAATAAATATGTTTGGAACTTCTATTAGTTATAAAATAACAAGATAATTTTAACTCTATGTAAGTTTTTTATATTGAATGATAATTAAAACATAAATATTCCATTTTCTTTTCTTTGTTTAAATTTACCCCATTTATAATAATTAATTAACAGTAAATGTTACCTAATATAAAAAGAAATAAAGAGAATAGGTCTTCACATAGATTAAAGACAGAGGGAGTATGCAGATATCCAAGAAGCAATTCATTTTTGGGATAAATATCTAGAGAGCCTATTAAATAACGAATATGCAAGAGAGATCCATTAAAAGAATTACAATCATTTGATAATGAAATAAAATTATTGGAACAATATGAGAAAAAGTTAAATGCAGCATTTATAGAGAGATTAAGAGTATAATTGTATCGACTACAAATGTGAGTACTTTTATATATACTAATATTTAAAATATTTAAATTAATGAAAAGTTCATAAAACTTTCGTATCAAATCAATAAAATCTAACTAATAAAATTCGAATCAATACAGATCTTTATAAATGAGTTTGACTTGTAAATCATTGACAAATAGAGTGATTAAGGAGTTGGGCTAATTTTAAAAAAGTGTTATCTAAATTTAACCAAGACAGGTCTTACAAAAATAGAGTAGTATTAATTGTAGATAGTCACTTGTTTCTGTGACTGAAAGTTAGGTAAGTGTTGATGAAGAGTTTGAAATCTGGGATAACAACTAAGATCTCAGATTGAAGAAACTTGTGATTGAAGAAAGAAAGCCTTCTGTAGGATAATTTCTGTAATTATACAAAGCTAGATATGGGTATAATTAAATAATACATAAGAGGATTCCCAGGATTTAGATAGCCAATATAGAATGAAGAAGTCATTAAGGCTGCTATAAATCATGCATCATCAAGTAAATAATTATTCAAGAAATATTTTCCTAAAAAATAAATAGTTTTTGAAGATGACAATGATTATTCTTAGCCATATAATATTGAAGATGATCAACATTTTAAAAATTTCAATCGTTTTTTTAGAAATAAAAAGCTTTAATCTACACTAAAGATTCCATTACAGAATTAAATCAATAAAAGTAGATGATGAAGATTTCATGTTGAAGATGTTTTAATAAATTCAACAATGATTAATTATCTTGATATTCTTTTAACTAAATCTATAATTTAAAAATGATATTTAAAGAAAAAGCTAATTATTTTTATTATTTTACTAAATAATTTCATTAATATATCATTTAAGCAAATGGTCAACTGCATTTCTTTCATCTACTAATTCCTTAATAGTCTTATCTAATAAGCCTTGATAGAATGGTGAAATAGGTAATCCTTAGACAATAGAATATTTGCCATTCTTAACTGTGACTGGGAAGNTCAATAAATAGATATGAAGTATCCATTTATTCTCTATTCTTAAATTATTTTCAAAGATTGGCAATCCATAATATACTTGGTTTATTAAAAATAATAATCATTTATGAATAATAATCTTGGTATTTTGAATAACAGATTTCACAAGAAAGCTATATAAAGTCGAAAGAGACAAACTTCAGCAGATACCAATACTATCCATTAAATGTAAGGAGGAAAGAAAAAAAATGAATACTATGAAAGATGGCTAACTAATTAAAAGAATCCATAATTAAGATCAGATTCTGAATCGAATCTTGATAATCTAACACCCTTAACTCCAAAAGCTTAAATTCCAATTAAACTAGAGCCTAAATTAATAAGAGATGTTATACAGAAATTCTATTCAGATGAAAATGGTCTTTGATTTTCTTATATTTATGATTAATTTTCTATAATCCTTAGTCACTTATAATCATTTTTGATTAATTTCTTCTTATTTCTTATTTGAAAGAGTGATTCAAAAATATTTTTTTTATGTATGAACATTATTGGAAGAATGTTTTTCTTATTTGATTATATAAATCAATAAAGAAAGTATATCTGTGGCTTAATTGTAAAATTACATATAGAAATCATAGGATAATTTCAATTTGACTATATTGTTATAAGCACATTTATATTATTACAATTTTGAGTTGAAATGTTTGATAAAAGAAATAGTTAAATTCTTAATTTGAGTGAAAAGGTTTATATAAAGTTTAAGAAATATAAAAATAAATATGTTTTGACAATATTCTTGATATATGTATGATATATAATAAGAGATAAATAATTTAGATTTTGACTGAAAACCAAAAATATATAATAAATATGTTTGGAACTTCTATTAGTTATAAAATAACAAGATAATTTTAACTCTATGTAAGTTTTTTATATTGAATGATAATTAAAACATAAATATTCCATTTTCTTTTCTTTGTTTAAATTTACCCCATTTATAATAATTAATTAACAGTAAATGTTACCTAATATAAAAAGAAATAAAGAGAATAGGTCTTCACATAGATTAAAGACAGAGGGAGTATGCAGATATCCAAGAAGCAATTCATTTTTGGGATAAATATCTAGAGAGCCTATTAAATAACGAATATGCAAGAGAGATCCATTAAAAGAATTACAATCATTTGATAATGAAATAAAATTATTGGAACAATATGAGAAAAAGTTAAATGCAGCATTTATAGAGAGATTAAGAGTATAATTGTATCGACTACAAATGTGAGTACTTTTATATATACTAATATTTAAAATATTTAAATTAATGAAAAGTTCATAAAACTTTCGTATCAAATCAATAAAATCTAACTAATAAAATTCGAATCAATACAGATCTTTATAAATGAGTTTGACTTGTAAATCATTGACAAATAGAGTGATTAAGGAGTTGGGCTAATTTTAAAAAAGTGTTATCTAAATTTAACCAAGACAGGTCTTACAAAAATAGAGTAGTATTAATTGTAGATAGTCACTTGTTTCTGTGACTGAAAGTTAGGTAAGTGTTGATGAAGAGTTTGAAATCTGGGATAACAACTAAGATCTCAGATTGAAGAAACTTGTGATTGAAGAAAGAAAGCCTTCTGTAGGATAATTTCTGTAATTATACAAAGCTAGATATGGGTATAATTAAATAATACATAAGAGGATTCCCAGGATTTAGATAGCCAATATAGAATGAAGAAGTCATTAAGGCTGCTATAAATCATGCATCATCAAGTAAATAATTATTCAAGAAATATTTTCCTAAAAAATAAATAGTTTTTGAAGATGACAATGATTATTCTTAGCCATATAATATTGAAGATGATCAACATTTTAAAAATTTCAATCGTTTTTTTAGAAATAAAAAGCTTTAATCTACACTAAAGATTCCATTACAGAATTAAATCAATAAAAGTAGATGATGAAGATTTCATGTTGAAGATGTTTTAATAAATTCAACAATGATTAATTATCTTGATATTCTTTTAACTAAATCTATAATTTAAAAATGATATTTAAAGAAAAAGCTAATTATTTTTATTATTTTACTAAATAATTTCATTAATATATCATTTAAGCAAATGGTCAACTGCATTTCTTTCATCTACTAATTCCTTAATAGTCTTATCTAATAAGCCTTGATAGAATGGTGAAATAGGTAATCCTTAGACAATAGAATATTTGCCATTCTTAACTGTGACTGGGAAGGAGAAGATCAATCCTTTTGGTACTCCATAACTACCATCAGATGGAATAGCCATTGAAGTATAATCACCTAAAGATTATTAATGAATTTTAATACCTTCAGGAGTTCCATTAACCCATGTAGTGATATGATTCATAGCAGCATTACCAGCTGAAGCAGCACTAGAGAGTTTTCTGGCTTTAATGATTTCAGCTCCTCTTTATTAAACAGATGGGATGAATGTTTATGTTACCCATTATTAATCAACTGTGGCTTTGTGATCTATGATGAAATTTATAATATACTTTTTGCTGTCATTTAATCAATATATGGAACCATTGTTGGAGAATGATTACCAAATATTGCTATTTTTCTGATATCAGATGAATGAACACCTAATTTATCAGCTAATTAATATTATGCTCTATTGTGATCTAATCTTGTCATAGCAGTGAAATTCTCTTTTGGAATATCTTTTATTTAATTGGCTAAGATCAAACAATTAGTATTGCATGGATTACCAACTACTACAACTTTGATATCTCTGCTTGCATGGTCCTATTATAGATGATTAATTTATACATTAATATATTTTCCTGTTTCAGTGAAGATTTTACCATTATCTTTTAACAAATCTCCTCTTTCCATACCTGGTCCTCTTGGTTTAGCACCTACCAAAAGAGCATAATTGACATCTTTGAATCCTACAGTTTAATTGTCTGTTGCTACAATTCCTTAAACCAATGGGAAAGCACAATCTTAAATTTCCATTGCGACACCATTTAATGCTGTCATAGCAAATGGTAAATCGATCAAATGAAGAATTATTGGTTAATTTGGTCCAAGCATTTCACCACTAGCAACTCTGAAAATTAGAGAATATCCAATTTAACCAGCAGCACCTGTGATGGCGACTCTTACAGGTGGCTTTAAGGATTGACCAAAATGAGCAATTGAAGCTCTTGTAAATTAATTGGTAAGGGCTTTTTGGAGATACTTTTGCATTTTAGATATTTAATTTATTTCTGGATTTGCTACATCACTACATTTATTTTCTATACATAATACGTAATATTTTTATAACTATGGATTTCAATACAAAAGTAGATGAATAACTCATCCATGAATGTAAGTGGCTACATTACAAATTTCTACATTTTCAAGTAAATGGACACAAAAAAGTATGGGAATTTGTTGAAAGACCTTCAGGTCATAGAGGAGGAGTTGAAATTATACCTATTATCAAATAGAGTTATATTAATAAAATCTGCAGCTTCTTCTGACCATCCTTCAGGCACTTAATTCATTTAATTAAGACTTATTGAGCCATTATTTAGTCTCTAATTTTTCTTTTAGTTTTTCTCACATAAGGTCTCTAAATAATAAGGAATTATATACTTTTCCCATCATACATTCAAAAGCAATAATACCAACTGCAAAATAATCAGAAGCTACTCCATGAGCCTATCTATGCATAACTTCTGGAGCCATATATCCAGGAGTTCCACTATTATCATTTTCATTATCAGGCTTCCAAATTCTGGCTATACCTAAATCTGTTAATCTTAAATAGCCTAGTATAATTTAGTATTATTTAAAACCATTTTTATCAAACACTAAGTTTTCTGGCTTAATATCTATGTGTAGTACTGTGTTTATATACAAATAATCTAGTGCTAGTAATAAGCATGCAATAAAAAATTCTTTTAAAATTTATATTAATATATACTTGTTTATTTTTCATTAAACTTTCTTTGTTTGCATAGATGATACCTCAAATCGCCACCTTACATTAAATCGATTGCTAAATATAAATTTCCTTTATCTTAAAAAGACTAAAAACCTATTTAGTTTATTTATCTTACGGATGTCTTAAATTACTTAATAAATATCTTTCATTCATAACTGAACTAACACTTTTCTTATTAATTATCCTAATATTCTATTATTAATTCTTTACTTGCATTTATTCATCTCTTTAATCGCAAACTATTATTTTGATTTTTTATTTTCAGCCTTCCAAACTCTTCCAAAACCCCCTCTACATATGACAAAAAGAAGAACAAAATCAGCTTTACAAGGCACTTGATGAAATCATATAAATTAATTACATAAAGCGTCATCAAAATTTACATCTTTGCTGTTATTACAATTTCCCCTATTGTATATCAAATTTATTATTAATATAATTTTATGAAAATTTTGTTTCCATCCTTTCTCTATTTTTCAATAATAAACTATTGAATAAACCTAAATTTTAATTAATAATACATTTTCACTCAATAAATTATTTCATTCTATTTTTCGTATTGATTACTATTTTTTTATTTAAATTAAATTACTGAAACTAGTTTTAAATTTCTGCATTCACATATTTTAATAATGGCATAAAATTTCTATAAATTAGATTAATTGGATAATTAGAAAATCAAATTATCTTAAAATATACGTTCCTTAAAATATTATCTAAAAGTTCTTTTTAAATTTAAATATATTAATGTTTTGTAATATACTAACTTTATTTTCTTAATTAATAATAGTTATTATAAAAATTTGACACACTTTTTATTTTAATGCAATCCACAAAAAATTACAAATCATATAAGAAAATAATTAGAATAAAGGATAAATTACATGATGATAAGAAAAATATGCCTTAATGAAATAATTAAAGATTATTTAATTTAAACTCAATCTTTTAAAACAATCATCTCTCTCAATAGTCAATTTCCAATCAAATAAACAGGTATTCTTAGAGTTCTTCTATTTTCTTAACATAGATTTAGACCTTGATTGGTAAAATCAGAACAGATCTTTCAATCAGGGATTTCTTATTTTCATCCTTTCATTATAATATACCCAACTTCAATTTATGCTAGATCCTCTAATTAAGCAGAAATATAATCTGTAGTTTTTCCATTAAATCAATAGTTCAACCCATTCTTTATTTTTTATAACCAAAACTAAAATATCTAATTTAGTAAGATTAATTGATGAATGTCTTTTAATTTAGATTGAATATTTAAAATAGCAATATCGAGCCCACTGCATCTAAGAAGTCTTCCAGTTGTTGTCAAATTCATGACCCATTATTCCAACAGTATACTCAATCCTTTACAAACTCCATATATATTAGTACTGGATTAAGTAACATATGGATATGTTACAAAATGAATAGTCAAATTAATAGCATTAGCCTCTTTGGCTAAAATTCTTAGTCCATCCTTTCTGGCGTAAGAAATTAATAACGTTGTATCTATAATCATATTTCTCTATTAAAAATAAATCTTTGTAATTTTTAAGAGTATTAATTTCATTTTGAGTATCTAGTTTAATTTCCCTAAAAGCACACCTTATTTCCTGTATTTGTTCCTCCATTTAATCTATCAAAAAATTGTATTTTCAGCCAATAAATCAAAAAAAATTCCTTTACCAACATTTCCTCATAACGTTCCAATTATTGCTTTGAGTCTACTCTTTAATCTGTGAATAAACTTATATATTTAAATATTATTTTATAATTAAATCAATCAATGTAATGCATCTCTTATACTGTTAATTAAAAAGCTTTTACAGAACCTTTATCATCATATGTATTTTGTTTAATTTATTAAAAATAACATTACTATTTCTTTTGCTCTTTTAAATATGCCTTCAAACTAAGAATCAATATTCAAATTCATAAAAGGGCTTTAGAGGAAGAATTATACAATTGATAAAAAGAGTCAATTTTTATCAAAACAATAATTCACAGATTAAAGTTTTCAAGATAAACTTTATTGCAGTCAGCAATAGTTATAACCTAAATTATTATTGTAATTTTGGACTACTAAACTTGTTGTTATAAAATAATTCGTTTATGTTGTTCAAAGGATAATTAATAGGCAAAATATTTAGTCATATTACTGGAATCTTGTCTGGCTATTTCTCTTTTGACGCCATTTATGCATTTTATGAATGCCAAAAAAAACATTCTTTTGATTAAATCTATAAAGAAATTAATATCTAATTTGATAGTATTTCTTACTTTATAACAACCAGTTAACATGAAGTGATGAAGATGGGTCTATTAATGCCGTTCTAATTTTATCCTAAAAGCCAATTTTAATGTTTAGAGACTTTTTCTTCATATAAAGTAAATAAATAAATAAATGTTATTTATGTACGTGAATACCAAAAAAAGTTATTATGTTTATAAACGTTAAAATTTTCACATGTTTTATTTAGAAAAAATTGTACACACCAACAAC